GCTTCACAGCTGGGAAACCCAACGGAAAATAATGCAAGAGAAATTGCACCGAGGTACTAAGGATAACATCATATTAGTATGAAGGCAAAAATACAAATAATGTAAGAGGGAGAAGACCCCACCAATGTTAAAAAAGCCAGAGAAGAGATTTCTGTTAAGGGACATCTCAGTGCACCCAGTCCTTATACATGTGTTGATAGGGAGGATAATCCGCTGGGTCAGATCTGCATAATCAGGAATGCAATGGTTTTCGCCTGATAGTGAAGTGGTTTGGGACGCTCGCATTTGGCTAGAGAGGCTCTCCTAGTAGCTTGGTCTGAGTGGATACTCTGCACATGGGTTTTGCACTCCTGCTGGCCTCCACAGCCTTCTCCAAGTTGTGTGTTCATAATTTTAGCCCTGATACTTTCCACCGTATTCAAATTTTGTAATTGTCATCTTTGGATTCACACAAGCAGGTATGCTTCTTCTATGTGACTTAGTTGGCTCCTCACTTAGATGGCTACTTGTTTGAATACAAGCCTTTACGACCCTAGACACTGTTTCAGTTGAGAGCTGGGCACCATCTGCTTTCTTCGCCACACTTTGGACACACACATTTCTTGAGTTTTAAGCCATACTAAATTCCCTTGTTCTGTGAGCACAATGAAGTGGTCTGGAATTTCCATTCTTTTCAAGGCTATCCAAAGTTTGTTATGATCCACACAGTCAAATGCCTTGGCACAGTCAAATGTACAAATGTGCATGACACAGTGAATGGATGTATGAATTGTGATAAGAATTGTATGCGCCCCCAATAAAGTGGTTAAAAATAAAATAAAGCACAAGTAACATCTTTCTGGTATTCTCTGCTTTTAGCCAAGATCCAACTGATATTAGCAATGATATCCCTTGCTCCACATCGCTTCTGAACCTGGCCTGAATCTCTTGCAGCTCCCTATCAATGTACTGCTGCAACCGTTGTTGGATGATCTTCCGCAACATTTTCTTGCATGTGTTATTTTTGTATAATTTGATTTGAGCATCTTGCTGGATCACCTTTTTTTGGAAGGGTACCGATATGGATCTCTTTCAGTCAGTTGGCCAACTAGCTGTCTTCCAAATGTCTTGGCATAAATGAGTGAGTGCTTCCAGTGCTTCATCAGCTTGTTGAACATTTCAATTGGTGTTCTACCAATTCTTGGAGCCTTTGGGAGGTGCGGGGGTGGGGTGGGGTGGGACTAATGCTTTCAATGCAACATCTTCCTTCAGCACTACTGGTTCTTGATCATATGCTACCTCTTGAAGTGGTTAAGTAGTTCTTTTGGCAGAGTATCTTCTTTGGATGTTTCCTGCATCATTCAATAACTTTCCTATAGAATCTTTCAATATTGTAACTCAAAACTTGACCTTTTTTTTAGTTCTTTAATATAATACTGAGTATATTCTTCCTTTTTGGTTTTCTGACTTTAGAGAAATCATCTAGAGGCTGTTAAAATACAGATTGCCACACCCCTTGTAGAGTTTCTGATCCTTCCTGGTTCAAGAACCCTGGTGTAGCAGTAGTTAAGTCCTTGGCTGACAATCAGAAGGTTGCTGGTTCAAACCAACCAACCATCTCATGGGAGGAAGATGTAGTAATCTACTCTCATAAAGATTTACAGCCTTGAAAACCCTTTTAGGGCAGTTCCACTCTGCTTTATAGGGGTATTATGTGTAGGAATTGATGCAATAAGAGTGGCTTTTTGTGTTTTTGTAAGGATGACATTCATGGATCAAGTAGAGGACTTCCCAGGATAGTAAAAAGCATGAGCAGAGAAAGGTTCAGGAGGGATTGAGAGCAAATGAGTTTAACCTGAGTTGGGCAGAACAGTCTTGTATGAGGAAAGGAAGGTCACTAGAATTGGAAACCCCAAACTGAAAACCAAAGCACTGTCATTGAGTTGATGCCACTTCATAATAACCCTATCGGACAGGGTAGAACTGTTCTGTGAGTTTCACAAGATGGAAACCCTTCATAGGAGTGGAAAGCCACATTTTTCTGCTGAGGAATGACTGGGGGTTTCAAACTGAAGACCTTGTGGGCTACAGCCCGATACAAAAGCCACTACTGTACCCGGATTCCTTGTAGGAAACCCGGGATGAGTCAAATAAATATTTTCAAAGAATTTACAAAATATTTACAAAGTAGAGTCCAAAGGTGGGAGCCATATATGAACTACATAGATCTCACGGCACATGGTCAACTTCAGCCACGTGTAAAGTCAACTTAAGCTATTTAACATAGCCCAACAGAAAGCATTTGTTATAGTGTGAACTTGTAAGAATGATATATCTTCCATTAGAAGAGGGAAAACTTTTATTGTTCTTCTAGTTGTAGATGTAATCAATGATTACACTGTAGAAAATTGGGAAGGTAGAGAAAAGTTTAAAAAGGGAGGGGAAGAAAAGCCTCCCCTTTTCTAATGCTGCCTCAGAGAAATAATCACTGCTAATGTTTTGGTGTATGTTTCTGTAGCTTCTATGTCAGTCTCAATCTCTGTCTTAATAAATATCACACCACAGAGTTGATGTTATTCTTTGAATAGCTTTAAAAAAGTGACAATATATGGATATGGCACCATGCTTCATCTTGCTAAATATGCTTTTGTACTGTTATTTATGTTTAAGACTACAATGCCCAAGAATCAGTTTGCTGATAAAACATACATATTTATTACTATGTGATTAAAAAAACATGCACGAGTTCTTCTCCTGTCTTCCCTGTTCATGCGTTTGAGGCAATTGAAAACACCGTGAATTAGGTCAGGAGTGGCACCTTGGTGGCATGGTAGGTTACGTTTTGGACGCTAAACAGAAGCTCAGTCCTTAGAAACCACCAGTCACTC